TTTGTAGAAAGGGAAAAAGTCTTTTTCATGGCAGAATGTGAATAGTTTGATTGTTTTCTTTGTTTCTTAAAGCCAAACAATTTAACAAAAATAAAAATGACTTGTTCACGTTGCCCGGGGTTAAAGTCAGGATTGGTGTTGGATCATCATCACTTAGACCTCAGAGGGTTAAAGAACCTCCCATAAGTTTCTCAAATAACCATTCAAAACAACTTGATTAAAAATTTATATTTCCAGCATGTTTGTAGTGTTTGAGGCATGTTTGAAGTAATTTAACGGCAAATCCTCCGTCTTTGTTCTGGCATAAACATACATCTTATACACACTCAGAATTCAGAAGAAGTGATTTAAAAAAAGGGGAAAAGCAGAACTACAATAAATTTGTCCCGAGAAGCAACTGGACATGTTTAAAAATGAAGTACACACTGGCAGCAAATGAAAAGGTGGTGATTTTCTCCACAGGGAGGCGCTGGTATCGGTGGCAAAAAGCTACACCTATGACGACGGCCCGGAGGAAACTGGACAAGACGCCTTTAGCAGGGAGCCGTTTGTCGTAATGTTCTCCTCCAAACACACTGGTAGGTGCTGTGGCTCGAGTTATACAGCTGTTTCTGCATCACACTGATAATGATGTGGATCCTCATTCAAACATTTGTGCGTGGTAGTTCCTGAGACATGTTAGTCACTAGTCCTTTATCATTCTCATGCGGTGTAAGCGCCTCCGTCACTGTCAACACTCCTTCGTTCCCTTCTCTTCTGTAGCTGTGAGAGACTTTACTCTGATCCCTCAGCACACCTCCCCAGAATCAGCTGTTCGGGAGCTAAATGCTCTCTATGACGTGGTGGCAGATGTCCGCGCTCGCTGGAACAATGATGTATTTACAGCCTACAAGTAAAAATCATTTATTTGGTGGAAAAACACACATTCGGTAAATGCGACTCACACTACTCTCCCTGCAGGACATCGTGCTGCTGGGTGACTTCAACGCAGGCTGTAGTTATGTGTCCGGGTCTGACTGGCAGCAGATCCGCATCTTCACTGACAAGACTTTCCATTGGCTGATCACTGATGCGGCCGACACTACCGTGTCGCAAACTGTCTGCCCTTACGACAGGTAGACAGATTGTGGCAGGTCGTTCTGATGTGTGCACGCAAACTCTAAACTCTAATCATCTTTCTGTGTTTGCAGGATTGTGGTCACTGCGGACATGATGAGAGGAGTGGTGAAAGAGAGTGCGAAGGTGTATAACTACATGACGGACCTGAATCTCAAACAAGATCTGGTAACAGATGAATTTCAATCCTTATCTCTGTAAGAATTCATTTGAACTAAAAAGCACAACCTGCCTCATTCCCCGCTGACACTAATGGAAACGTCAATATAAAAAGTTAACATAATGCTGTATTCACTGCAACTGAGACCATAGACTCGTCAGCAAAATGTTTACTGAGCTCCAATCAGAAGAGAGGCATTCTACACAAAGGGCAAAGCAGTCGCCCCATCAGAAATCATGCAGTTTTAAAGCACTTTTGCTTTTTTAATATCAGCTTTGAGCTACAGAAAATCGAGCAACTTTGTAAAGCAGTGGCTGTAGTAACGACCGCAGAGATGCAAACAAAATCATAATGCAGTGTATACTGTAGTGATGGCATTACCATGCAGGCACGTTGAGTTTTTCAGCACTGGAAAGAAACCTGTGGAAACTGAAGCCGTCTGCAGCACAAACTGTGAGCCACTAAAAGAACGGTTTCTCTGTCTCTCAGGCGTTGGCTGTCAGCGACCACTTCCCCGTGGAGGTGAAGCTGAGCGGTTAGGCTCACGTTGCTTGAACCGTGACTTCCACAAGCTTTCCACACATCGTGCTCAATCTGCAGCCAGCACAATGATCATTCAGTTGGGGACTACTGTCAGCCACAGCTTCATGAAATGCAAATGCACAATAAAGCCACTAAAAGAATTTCACTGAAAACTTGTGTGTTGTAAAGAATTCGGCTTCTTGTTGCAGTGGAGCACATTTGTCTGGAACATTTACTGAGACCCTTTGTTGATTTGGAAACCTTTAATAACGCGTTTGTATTTTATTTCACTTCTTTTGTCTGCTTAAATGTCTTCAGAGTTTTGAGTTACTAAAGTTTTTTAATTAATTTCCCAAAACAGCTCAGACACACAGCAAAACACTAACCTGCAAAACTGAGCCAAAAATGTTGAAAAAACATAAAAGAGCGGTAGAGTAATACATCTGTAGGGGAGACCGGGGATAGTTGTCACATCTTTGACATTTCTGTCTGTAAATTGGAGCTCTTTTAAGGTAGTGGATTCAAAATGTAATGCAAAGTATTTACATGTCTCTGCTATTAAATAGTGCAGCTATTTTCTCTGCAGCACAATTACCCATTACATGGTATGGTCTCAAACACGAAGAGTGAAATGTTACAATTAACCCCATAGTCTGGGTTAGTTGTAACATATCCTGGGGTGAAATGTAACACAATGAAATAAGCGTACTGACAAAACATTAACATGTAATCTTTTTTTATTCAACACATGAATGCACTTAGAGCCATTTATGTAGCTGTGTGTGTGTATGTGTGTGTGTGTGTGTGTGTGTGTGTGTGTGTGTGACAGAATGCAGAAATCTAACTTTTGAACATATTCCAACCCCCCAAAAAAGACAAATTATGGAATTTTCTGCAACTGAATATTTCATTAATTTTGGTTGGTCTTCCTTGAGTTTGGCCTCATTGGCTCAGTGGGCATTATAACCTACAACTCTTGCACCAACTTTGAACATAACAATGAAGCTGAAAAAATGTAGCTGTGCACCAGCATCGCAATTCCATTACTTTTTATCATGGCTTACCTTGGTGTGGTTTGCAAAGTGCTTCAGAAAGATGAGTGTTGTGTTCCGTAATGTTTATATCATATTGCACCACTAGAGGGTGGTGTCGCAAAATAAGAGGTAAAGCGGAGCCGGAAAAGGTTTAGAGAATAGAAAGAGATAGAATACAGTTAGGTGGCTAGCTGATAGCCGATGTGTGTCACTGCTATCCCTTGGATGTTAGTCTGTGCTGAATTCATTAAAGAGCACTGTTCTTCATGAGGACTGGTTAGTACCGCCCACCATTACAATGAGGAAATCTGTTTCTTGCACCCATCCTGATTTATTTCCACTACCAGTACTTCCTGCTGGTCCATCTCTGACACAGTGGTCAGCATAATGTATGTGTGGGAACACAAACAGTGGAGGAATTGTGTTGCCAATGGCATTAACCACATATACAAATGCGACCAGTGAACCTCTCTCTGCTGATGTCGTTGCCCCAACTTGTTTAATATAAGTTAAAGTAATAGTGTGGTAAGTTGTAACATCTGCATTATTGTTACAACTGACCCAGACTGTTGCTGTTACAACTGACCCAGACTCCTATAGCCATGAACTAGCTAACATTACAGCCAACGGCTAAAACACTAGCACTAAAGACCTACACAGAATATATCCCCATAGACATACAAATAACACAATTTAAGTTTGATGAGTTTAACTGCAAAGCAGATAATGCTATTAGAAATTGAAATAAAGTAGAAAAACTTACTTTTTGGCATACAAATTACTTTTTTTCATGTTAAATTGTCTGTGTTTGACAAAATGTGCTGATTTTTCACATGTGATAGCAGAACTGAGTTGGGCATGCACAGGATGAGTCACATCATTTGAAACTTAGCCCTGATTGGAGAAACTGGAAGTGTTACAACTGACCCACGTTACAACTATCCCCGTCTCCCCTACACAAAAGAAGAAACAATGTATTCATTAAAGATTATTTTCAGTCATCTCAGTTACTCCTGTAAAGCTGAAATGTGTTCACCACATATGTTAACCTGTGATTTTTAAACACTGAAATGGAAATCAGGTTGTCTGCATACAAAAAGCTAAAGACGCCTGGGAAATAGAGACACTAGAGTTTCTAATAGCGTCCAAGAGAAGTGTGCTTGGAGAGACGATAGCTGACTGCAGCCTCAAGATGGCAGTGATGTAGAAGCACATCACTTATGCTTTGGTATAACTGACTAGACAAGCACTGCTTGTCCTGGCTGAACAGTTGAGTTGGGGTTGCTGTAGTTCAGTTCTACTAATTGGAAGGTTTGCAGTTCAATACCAAGCTGCTGCAAAATACTTAGCCTCCCCCCCGAGAATGTAATATTAAAGTGAATACACGTGCTGATTTCATCTCTTTACATGAAAGAACATTTACTTTTCCAGGAGTCACATTAGTGACTTGTAGCTTTAGGCTTAGTAGACGACTCACACATTGACAAATCCAAACACATTTGAGGGTAATACTCTTAAATGTGTAAATGTAGTGCTCAAAGAAAACAGGGAGCACCACAGCAGAGGTCATTCATGTCTGTCACACACAGGACGTGACAGTGAAAAGTGTGGAGACACTGCACACCTGAAGTTTAGCCGATTGTGTTGCGCTGACACTCAGTCCTTTGAAGTGTCGTATATTGATTCAATTGTCCAAAACACAAACATACAAAGAATGAAAAATGCTCCTTGTTATAAGAATGCAAGATTCATTTTGATTTGGTTGTCCGCTGAATTTTTAACATTCTCCACTGTCATTTGAATGTAGAGACGTCTGAGTTACAGAGATAATGAATGAGAACCACACGCTTTAATCCATTTAATGTATGAATCCAGACATTTATTTGGATATTTCACAGTAAAAACCAAACATTTGTTAGAGATGACAAAGGCTTTGCCACATTTAGATGCACTAAAGGTCAGATTTGCTGTTAGTCCTTCATATGTGAGACTCTTTGCAACAATTAGCAGTTTGCTCGCGTAAGCATACTGCAGGTAATGCTGAGTGATGGAGAAGGCTCGGCAGGTTGCCCGAGTGTACGGCTCTTCAAACCAAAACAAAAAGTCACACCCTAACCTCGAGTGTTTTTATTAACACCTTGAGGGTAAATGCTGGGTTTTATCCCCAAACATGTAGACTGCTCACTGCCTGATGTCAGATCACATCTGTAGCTGGTGCTACAAAGTGTGCAAACATGTTTCCCCTCTCTAAGCCTTTCTTCTCTTAAGCATCTCCAGATACATCCCCAGGGACTTCTGAATAGAGTCCTTGGTGATGAACTTGACAAAGTTATTGACATCAGCCTCTCTGTTAGCCGCCAGCTTGTCTATGGTTGGCTTCCTCATCATGGACTTTGTGAGCTGTCTGGCGTGATCTGCAAATGAAACAAATGCACATGTAAGGAAGCTGTGCATTCATATACAATTTCTTCTATGAATACTGACATGGGCTTCAATTCATTGCAAAATATATTCAATTGCAGCACTATTGTGGAGCACCTTTTATTTCTTATGTGGGAAAGTGACATTTCTAACAGGTGCTGAAAGCTTATGCTCTTTCTCTGCCTCCTGCACATCCTGCCAAGTACCAGGATGTACTAAATACTGCTGTACAGATGGAAATACACCCATATCGACACTTCTGAGGTACGAGGTTACATCTCCCTACATGCGGGTTCGTGCCACCTCACCTTAAAACAAACATACACTGATAGCAGCTCATTTTTTTCCTACCTGCCTTGGAAATGTTACCTGCAATTTTATTACCCAAATGGTAAATGGACTGGTTCTTATGTAGCGCGTTTCTACTCATCTGAGCGCTCAAAGCACTTTACACAACTTGTGCAATCACCCATTCGCACAAGCACATCTTTCTAAGTGCTTCATAGCTAATGTTCACACACATTCAGAGCAATTTGGGGTTAGTATAATAATAATAATAATAATAATGGATACTTTATTGATCCCCATGGGGAAATTACTTGTTTTTCTCTGCATTTGACCCATTCACTCAGTGAAGCAGTGGGCAGCCCACTAAGCAGGCGCCCGGGGAGCAGTGTGTAGGGATGGTACCTTGCTCAGGGGTACCTCAGGGTAGCCGTTAAGTGGATTCGAACCGCCGACCTTCCGATCATGGGGCGACCACTTTACCTACTGAGCTATCCCTGCCCAAGGATATTTGGCACATAGACCAGGGGAAGCCAGGAGTCGAGCCACCAACCTTCCGATCAGTGGATGACCTGCTCCACCACCTGAGCTACACAAATAAATCTACTTTAAATAAAACATCATTTCCTTGTCTTTGATAGTGTGCAGGAACCCTGGTTTTACTCCCCATGATGCAGTAGACTGCAGAACTACCTTGAACAGCAATAAAGTCGTTATTGACTGCACGACTTTCAGTCTCACATCGTCGGAGGAGTTTTGGCCCGTTTGTCTTTATAGTGCGACTCCAGCTCATTGAGGTTTGGGGAGAATTCTTTCATAAGGTCGCAGCATTTCAATCCAGCTGACGTCTGGACTTTGACGGGGCCACTGCAAAACCTCGATTCTTTTCATTTCCAGCACGTCTGTTGTAGGTTGGCTGCTGTGAAGGGATCGTGGCACAATTTGGGCAAAGCTTTCGATATTGGATAGATGCATGACGTGCTTATGATCGACTCACTGACTGCACCATGCAACATTATGTTCAAACGTTTCCGCTTTGGTGTCAAATGAGTCATGCTTGTCTGGTCTTGAAATGTTGACAAGTGCTAACATGCTAACTGAGCCTGTAGTCTCAGACATGTAGCTCGTTTTGTTTGTTGTAGAGTGTTGTAGTTCGACCTTGTGAAGACCGTGGAATTAACCACCTGAATACTCCAAAACCTCAACGTGCCAAAACGTCTGATTTTACAGAGGGGATCACACATTTCCATCTAACATCTGTTTGACTGAAAAAAACCCACAGCAGCATTGAGATAATAGGACGACAGATTAAACTTTGTTCTAGGTTCTCCTGTGTTGATTATGACACATATGAGCAGCACAGCAGCGAAGAGGACAGACGGAGACATTTTTACCTTGACTTCAAAATGTGGTCAAATGACCAAAGAGCTGTCAGACTTTTTACTTTATCTTGAATAGAAACAAGATTAGAAATCTTGACTCAGGTGAATCTTTTTGGCAGCAATAACCTGACATACACATGAACATATTGTGCAGACCAAGTTGCAGCACCACAGGTGGAAAAAATGACAAGTATAACTGATGTTTAGTATACCTGGAATAGCCAACCACTTGGTCATGGTCTCTGTGGCTGTAGTGAGGACCTGGTCTTCATGCACCAGCTGGTCCACCAATCCTATCTTCAAGGCCTCTGCAGGGCTGTAGAGCAGCCCCAACTGTAGGGCCATCTCTGTGGCCCGATGTCCGACTGTGTTTACCATTGTGTCCTTAAACCTGCAGGAGCAGTTTTACAGTGACAAGACAAAACAAAGATGGGTGTGAAATGTTAATAAAACAGTTTTTAAACTGAGAAGTTGTATTGGTTTTAGGTGCTTTGGCACAAAATTATACAAACCCCGATTCAAAAAGATGAACCGCAGTGAGACTGAAATGAGTTCTTTGTTTTTATCTCCACAACATGAGCAGCGGCGTTACAGCGCAGGAGAACCATGCAAGAAGAAGCTAACTGCAAACCTCTCGCATTCACTGAGCTTAAATGAGACTAATGCATGTAAACTGTGTTTCTACCTTGCTGCTGGTACTATCAATTATTATTGTAATTAGTGTTGGTGTAATTTCTTACCAAAAAGGTGCTACAATGCCGAGCTTGGTCTCATTGAGACCGATGCTGTAACGAGGGTTATCCGCCATTATTCTGTAGTCACATGTCATCGACAGCAGGCAGCCTCCTGCAGGACTGGAGCCCTGGGTGACGAGTAACGAGAAGCCCGCAAGCTTATTTCAGCGTGTTTGCCCCCCAGAATGCACCACTCTGTCCTTGTGTGAGGTGCAGACAGTGTGGAGGTAGGTGCTGCGTTGTTCTATACGTACATTGACTGCTGCTATAGTGATCATGTTGGAGCCATAGAACTTGAGCCACATCTCTTGCACAGCTTTCCAGAACTCCGCACAGTGCTCTGGACTCTTCCCATACATGTCCAAGATGTCCAGCCCGGCTGAGAACACCTTGGGCTGGCTCTGGATTTCAGGGTAAAACACATCCAGAAGCTAAACCCGCTGGATAAACTGTCATTATACTTAGCATGTTCAAACTTCAGCTGTGGAACTGTAAACATGAAAGACTTCACTGTAACACAGATGTTAGTCCATCTGCACAAAGCTGCTTTAACTGTACCGAGGTGACGACGAGGCCTCTGCAGCTCTTGTCCATCTCCAGCTTCTCAAGAGCAATGCAGACATCAGTGAGAAACTCTAAACTAAGACTGTTGACAGGAGGACTCTGCATGTGCATCACTGCCACACCTGCAGAGACAGAGGCCATGATCATTCACTTGAATGCTGCAGTGATTGCTGCGCCAGGAAACCTGCGATGGAGATTTTGCATGCTTTGTGTCTGCTGATGATGGCAGCTGAGGTCACACTGGATTAAACTCAAATTAGTGATCCCTGAGAGGAAAGACAAACAACCTGAGCGATCGCCGGCCTGCTGCACTTTGCATCCGACTAATTAAGTCAATGGGGTGAGAGGATATTGATTCATACGGGTGTATCCACCCGCTAAGGTGCTTTAACACTTTAATTGGACTGACAGTGATGTGAGAAACTCACCTCAGCGGTCTCCCAGAGGCTTGGCTCTGCTCTGGATGTGGTGAGAGGAGGGGCTTTGGGGGCCACCACGCTGATAAATTCTTTTCTACTTTAATCGCCCGCGTTATTGGATTTCACTCTACACGGCACTGCGGACATCAATATCAATGACACAGCCCTATAAAAGTGTGGGAGAAGCTCCTAGCCTCAGTAAACACTTTCCTGATGACTTTATGGGCTCAGTCAGTCATCGCAGCACCAGATCCACATATTTGATTTGCCAGGTTTTTTTGCCCCTCCCCCCTCTGTCTCCTCGCAGTCAGACTGGGAGGCGAGTAATATGATATTTATTATAGCATAATAAATATACTAACATTGTTTTTCTGATGGAGAAGAAGATTTTATCGAAGTGTATTACACCTCCCTGGGTTGGTTAATAGCCTTGAGCATCAACTGTTGTTTTAAATATTCACACAGTTGCTTTTTTGCTGGGTTTGCATTATCCATCACGCTGCTCTAAGCTTGCTACGCGCCTCAGCTTTTAAAAATGCTCCTTTTATGCTGGACAATAACTTTTATTTAATTTCATTACAATGCAGCTTTGGTGATTCACAGGTATTTCTGTTGTGGCTGCCCTTGATGTAATTTGGCTTCTTCTAGTCCAGCAGACGGACTCCAACTCCCCCTGGTGATCGTGGTGATCGTGGTGCTCGCTCAGCTCCGAGCTGAACATGCTACAGCTGGAGAACTGCCTCATGTGCCAGCTGGAGTTAAACAGGGGGAGTTAATGTCTGTGGGACAAGAGACTTACAGGCAGAGCCTGCTGAATTTTCCACACATCTGTATTTACATGACCTTCCCCTACATATTTAGAACAACTCACTCACAGTTGTACTTCATGTCTCATTTACAAAGCATCCTTTCACCTGCACAGTCGTATTAGCAAAATGCTCACCTGAGCTCTGGTCAAAATCCACTTTGATCTTCTGTGAGGTGGAGCTGCTGCTCCGCTGAGCAACAAGCGCAGGAGCCCTGCGAGCAGCAGCATGACCGCTGCAGGAGAGCTGGGACAGAAGAGCTGCACAGGAACACAGCACACTGGCTCAGTTCAAAGTCATCGGTCACAAAGCAGCAACACATGCATTCAAAAGACAGGAAACAGCCATGTAGCATACTTATTATAGAACTTGATATAATACGTATCAATGTGCAGTCGTGTTAATAGTTTGAAGAGATCCAAGTTGAAATGATGCACGAAAACATTTTTTTCTTTCGCTAATGAACAGAAAAACAGTTTCTCATGAGCTTTTGTTTCCGGAGCCTCTGTGACAGACAGCTAAAGCTAACAGCTGGCATGCAGCACATAACAAACACACGCTTCTTTACACGTTCAGCCTCGTATTCGCTCTCAGCTCCCGTGTTGTGGGTGAGTGGAGCTGCACACACCGACATAAAGAGACAAGCGCTGCGACCTTTGCTCCAGTTTCTGCAGCGCACCGTCGGCAGCAGGGGCTCGGTGTGTTTTGAGGAAATAGAGACGCACAAACTCGGACTTTCTCCCCCCGAAACTCCCAAACCTACCTGTTAAACCCGGCTTGGTCCTCAAACATGCCCTCAAAGCCATTTTCATTCGCTCAGACAGTCACGTCCTCCCGTTCTCGTCTTTAGCGTCTGGTCTTCTTCACCGGGTCTTTTAGAAACAGGCTTTTAGTTTGACTGTGTTGTGACGGAATAGCGCCACCTTCTGGTTGGCTGGCTTCATGATTTTCAATCCTGCCAAAGAATCTCCTCCTCAGTAATTTATTTAGTTTTTTTTTTGCTTCTTGAGCCACCAGCCATCTCTTCATGTTTTGTAAGAAAAATATAAAATAAGTGCAGCCATTTAAGCAAACATGCAAATACAGTATATGAGGCAAAAACCGAGTTTGCGCAATTTAGTTAGTTAATATTTGGTGTGAGGCCCTTTATCCTCCAACACAGCCTGAACTCTCTTAGGCAGCTTTCTTGTTGTTTCTTCAGGAATAGTTCCTCTATCCAGGTCTTTTTTTCTGCATTGGCAGTGTGTTTGGGATCATTGCCCTGATGAAAAAAATTAAGGCTTAACCAATCAGACACTTTTCAGATGGTATTGCATGGTGGATTAAACTCTGATAGTACTTTTCTGAATTCATAATCCCATCAGTTTTGACATGAATGCACAACACCACAGGTTCAAATGCACAGAACTGTGCTTTACTATTTGCTGGTTTATTCCTGTTTCTTGAGGACATGACTTCCAGATGCTGTTCATCTGCTGTACATGGGTTTTCAGTCCCGTCACTTCTTCTTTTGTCCTCCACTTGTCCAGTTTCTTCAGACTTTTTGAGGACATGGTGCACATCATCTCGAGATATACATATGATGAGTTTTTACTCGTCTGGATTGTTTTTCTCAAAGGTAATCCTTCTTCCTGCTGCCATGCCTTTTGATTGTGGGTAACTATAGTATTGGTACTGTTCATCCATATATTCATAAAGTATCACAGACTACAGAAAATCACTCCTATAATTTGCCTCACTGCTCTTGTGCTCCAGTCAGTCATACTCTCTTCATTTAGACCGATGGCCGACTGACTCCAGGAAACACAGGTGATCCACAGAAGCAAGACAGGAAAAACAATCAAAACATTGAGCTCAGTCTAATTAACAGACCGACATCTATACCAAAATAAACAACAGAAACTCATCGTGTGATCAATAATCACACACCCCACTGATAATGTTTGCGAGCCGGGTATAGTGAAACGAGGGATAGAGAATCCAGGATTACCAACTAGCCAACATCCCTGATGCTCAAAGAAACCCTGTATCATAAATCACCATATAATCAATGAAAAATACAAGGTACTTAAAAGCTACTTTTTGTATATTTCTGATCTCCAAACTAGCTAAAAACCTTCAAAATGAAGTAAAGCTATCAAATAATCCAAAAATGTTCAAAAAATCTGTTTTGTGTTGAAGAGACATCAACTGAAGTTGAACTAGAGCGGGGCTGTACTTCTGTGCAAGACCAATTTGTACAAAAACATAGTACATCACATTAATGTAATTCATTATTTAACCAGGCAAGTCACTGAGAAGCATTTTTATTTACTATGGTGACCTGGGAAAAGGAAATCCCGTCCCCAGAAGAAATGGGGGCAGGGCTTTAAAAAATACAGCAGCAGACATCTGAAAACATGCCTGCTGGTAAAACAATGCTTCCTTTGGGGGATTTGGATAAGCATAAGAGAATAGATGGATTAAGAAAGTCCCTTTAAGGACATTATGAGCATCATGTAGATGTACTTTAATTCCATCCTCTTCTGCTTATCCAAGTCAGGGTCATGGGGGCAAGGAGCCTATCCCAGCTGCCATAAGACCCTGGACAGGTCACCACTTTGTCACACGGCTAACACAGAGAGATTATTCATGCTCACATTCACACCTACCACCATTTTCAAATTAACCTAATCCCAATAACTGCATGTCTGGACTGTGAGCGGAAGCCAGAGTACCACACAAACATGCAAACCCCTGCACGGAAAGGCCAAAGCCAGGACCTTCTTGTTGTGCCACTGTGCTATCTATTTTATGGTCAGTTGATATAAAATTGTATTTATGTAAACTGCTTCAAGTTTTTGTCTATCGAGAAAAGAACACATCATAGACATCATTTTATTGTAGAAGTACTGTGTGGCTGAAACAATTGTTTTCATCGCCAAGTCTGACAGCTAGAAAAACAACCCATTTCCATTCTGCCGGCAACTGACCTGAGCAATGATACGACTTCCTTTAAAACCAAATTATCTCTATGAGCTTCAAAAGCTCATAAAATGGCTCATCCCTTCCAGAAGCGTTTTTTGCTCTAGGCAAAACCACCAACAAAGTCACCAAGCTCCTTACACATGCACATTTCACCCACAGATAACTGTTAACCCTCTGAGGTATAAATCATCATCACTGACTAACCCTGACCTAATTTTTTTATATACTCATTGAATTGTTCTTACAAGTCTTTGCAAACAGATGACGAAAAAAAAAAATAACTCTAGCAAATATCAAAGACTTCCTACCCAATAGGTAGAGCAGGTCATCTACTAACTGGAAGGCTGGTGGTTCAAACCCTGGCTGCTCCAGTCTGCATGCCAATGTATCCTTGGGGAAGATACTCAAACACAAGTTGCTCTTTGATGAATTGGAGAACATCTATCATTCCATGTTCAGAGATTTTTAAGTGCTTCTGTAAATGAGTGAATGAGGCAGGTTATATAAAGCGCTACATAAGAACGCTTACTGTTTACTGTTAGGATTAGGTTTAGACTGCAGACAGAGCAATGGCGTAAACATCCAGATCCAAAAACCGAAGAGGAGAGTCCTGGCCCCTAGCCCTGCCAGCAGGGCCGGCCCGTGGCATAGGCCGTATAGGCAAACGCTAAGGGCGCCGTCCATCAGGGGCGCCACGCCAGTGCCACAAATGTTGAAAAAAAAAGAAAAGTTGGTACTATTATTTCTAAATACAAAAAATAATCCCACGTTAATTAAAATGCAAAGTAAAGCTTATTTAATAGAAATATTATTTGTTACAACATTACGCCCCCCCCCTCCCCGCACGGTGCGCCCCCTCCCTTCCCGTATCATGGTTCCTTTTGGACGTCACCACATCAAAAGATCAACACAAGATGTCAAAACGGCCAAAACTGTCAGGTGCCCAGGGAAGAAAAAAGAGAAAAGAAGAGGAGGAGAAACGAGAAAAAGACAGAGGTAGGTAACGTTAGCCTACATGGAATTATTTGTCTGAATGTGATAGTAACCTAAATTTTAGCATTAAGCTAATGTTACATGATTCGCTAATTGCTAATCAATAAATAGCTAGTTAACTGTTTTAACGTCAGTTAATATTGTGGAGGGGGCTAAATTGTTATGGAAAATAATAATGTAACGTTAGGTAATTACAGTATTCCCACCATTCCTCATTTGTATTCATCTTTTAAGCAGGTGTTTTTTGTTTACATTGTTATTGCCTTCTGGTTAGCTAACGTTTACCCTGCAGGTAATAGTCACTTTTCCACCCCTGTATATATTATAGTTGTAAGCCTAGTTGTTAAAGTGCACATCATTAATGTTAATTAAGCAATATCACATGAGAGGGAATGCTGTTTTTTTAATATGAGCACTGCTGTGATTCGGTCAAAGATAATCATAACATAACATTCTCATATGATATTATACTGTTACTTTGTATTCTGCTATTCAGCATTTCACTGTAATGATGACAATAAATTGAATCTAATCTAATCTGCATATCAGTTAACATCATACATATATCTCTTTGGTTTTTCATTTATATTATATCATTTCATTTTATTCCTGGAATCATATGTTTTTATTATTAGACTTTAATACTCAGTGGTGTCACATACTCCTCTCTTCAGATGCACTGTTGAAGTTTCTAAATCCCACCCCTGGCCATCTACCACATCTACCGCTGCTGCCTCCACTTCAGCAGCACAACCCACCAGTTTTGCAGCAGCATCAAGCGGTGTTCCTGTTGCCTTATTTATATTGTATTTTAATTTCTTTTATCCAACTTGTTGACACGTTTTATTGTGTTTATGTATGTAAAATTTATTGTATTTCATATATTCATTTTTTATTTTTTGTATTCATTTATTTATTCATATATTTTTTTATCTTGTTATTATTCTGATTGTGAATTTGCTTTCTTTAAGTAAAAAAAAAGGTCAAAGACAAAGCTATTCGGTTTCTTATGAGTACATACACTACACTGCCGATGTAGGGGGCGCCACCTAAAATCTTGCCTAGGGCGCCAGATTGGTTAGGCCGGGCCTGCCTGCCAGTGTAGCAGAAATGATGAGGATGATGATGCAGCAGCAGCCGTTCTTCTCTGCGTGAGTAGCTTCATGTTGTTCGTGTGTAATTTACGTTGAGTAGGCTAACCACGTTATTACATTAATGCATGTGAGGTGAACTAGCAAACATCATCATAGCTACATGCGGCTGTCTTCTTGTTTGATGGCAGATACTCCCTTCACCCTGGCCAAAAAGGCTAAAATGACCAAAGAAGAAGTGGAAAACAGTTAAACATGAGAGGTTTTTGGACAAAGTTTGTGTTTTTTCCATTGTTTAAGCACTGCTTCCAGCCAAGAGTGATACCATATATGCTCCATAGCTGCAGAAAAGGCTAACATTGTTATCTTTTTACAAAAAAACAGCTGAACATGAGAGGTTTTTGGACAAAGTTTGTGTTCTCCATTCTTTAAGGACCGGTTCGAGCACCGTTTAAGCACCGGCACAGTTTCAAAAGTACCGGTTTCGGATAAAACCTAAACGATACCCATCTCTAGTCTTGCCCAAGGACACAACGACCGAGACTGTGCGAGCCGGGGCTCGAACCGGCAACCTTCCGGTTACAAGACGAACTGCCAACTCTTTGATTATTTGGGATCACTTGGATTATCAACAAAATGTCCATCCATCTATCCGCTTATCCTTTTCAGGGTCGCAGGGGTGCTGGAGCCTATCCCAGCTGTCATAGGGCGAGAGGTGGGGTACACCAGTCTGTCGCAGGGCCAACACACAGGGACAGACAACCATCCACACTCACATCCACACCTATGGGCAATTTAGATTTTTCAATTAACCTATCCCCACAAACAAAATCAACAAAATGTGAAAAATGTTATAATTGCTCATGAATTAATTATGCTTCTTGAGAAAACCTTGTTGTATGAGATGACAGTGATATTTTCCATGAGAATATTTGTGCCAAGTTTGAAAACATCACCTTATGACCATTGTGATACATTGTGTTCATGAGTCTTCGTGTTTTATGGCCTCCACCTTTAAGTACAAATTAAAAACTGCTCCAAATAAGGACAGTGATTTGTACATAGTTATGAGACAGAAGTAAATGCTTAGACAACATCTTTGAGTAAAATACATGAATGTATTGTCCTGTTAGGGACCAAGCTGAGCTAACAATCCAAGAGGTTTTTTTAAAACTCAGAAAGTTATTTCTTTTAGAGCTTTAAATTTCCACTTCAGAACTATAAACAGTCACGAGAAAAATAAAGTTTGTCACAAACGAAGAACAACCATTCTGTATCTGTAACAATCAAGAGAATGAACCTGGTTAACTGATAATCAGCGACTGTGAGCGCACCTATAAAAGCAGAACGTTTGGCAGTTTGCTGGTTTGAAACATTCAGGTATTAACACAATGCCACAATCGTCCCAGGTGTGGACATCTCATCAAATTCACCCCAAGCTCAGACAAACTCCAAAACACCCAGGAGATACATCGCCAGAATCAGACAAGTTCTGTCAAGCGACACTGCAGAGGTTCTTGTCCATGCATTTGTGTCTTCCTGCATTGATTATTGGCCTACCAAAGAAAAGTTTTAGAGGTCTACAGATGGTGCAAAATGCAGCTGCTCGCATTTTAACAAGAACTGGGAAATTTGAGCACATTACCCCTGTGCTGAGATCTCTGCATTGGCTACCTTGTCAGGTTCTCGTGCTCTCCGATCTCAGGACTCTGGCCTTCTAAAAGTTCATAGAGCCTGAACAAAGACAGTTGGAGAGCTTTTTCTTTTCGTGCCTGTTTCTGTGGAACAACCTCCCTCAAGATATTCAGCAGGCTGCTCTGTGGAGGTTTTTACAGCTAAGTTGAAGACACATTTGTTCATCCTACATGTCTTAATTCTGTGGCTTTTAGTTTTTACATTTTTATTGTTTTTAACTTGTCTTGTGTCTCTTACCTGTGTTGCTATGTATCACTTTTATTTTATTTATCTCTTTAGTTGTACAGCACTTTGTTTGAAAGCACTTTATAAATAAAGTTATTATTATTATTATTATTATCTCACAGGCCTCGATTAACGTGCTGAATGCGAATATTCATGACAGCACAATTAGAAAAAGAACACGAACTTCTCATAATGGACGAGTTGTACGAGAAAGCCTCTTCTGACTGAAACGGCCATCAGAGAAAAGGTTTACAAAGATACATCTGAACAAGAACAAGGTGTCCTGAAACAAGTTTGATTTCATTACGACATGAAACAGCCGGTGGCATCTTAGGAAACATCAGGTGGCGTAGTGTAAAAGAGGTATGTGGTGCGCAGGGTGCTGTACACAGTAAGACATGAGAGAGAGAGGTATAAGAAAGAGAGAGAGAGAGAGATGGTAGGTGTGTAAGTCACGGCCAAGGCAGACGTGTGTGCGCAGCAGCGATACATGACACGCCGAGGCTCAGTCAGTGAGTATTTTAGGTTATAACTGTGTTTTTGCATGTGGCTAATTTTTCAATCTGAAAATGCTAATACAAAAAATATGTATGTTTGTGTTGTTGTTGTTTTCATTGATATTATTTGTTCCACATGGTAACAAAAGTATTGCTTGGAGAAACGGACCATTACAGTCAGTGTTGAATATGCATGTCCCCATATTTGTACACTGGTTTTCTTGATGTTATAAAGTTGTGACTTTGGAGCTAGGGCCGATGTAAACACTGGTGTGTACTCTATAATGTTGTTGTTAACCTTTAATTTAACTGTACTCACTTACATCGCCAACACTTTGTCTTGTAAACCCGTCTAAATGTGTTTTTTCTTCGTTCCAACTGGACTGTTTCTCTCCCCTGAACATCGCTGTCAGCGTCGGCCGCTATCGAGCGCCATAGGAAATCCATCAGCGTGCGTCACCTCTGCACCCTGTAACCCGGGGACATACTCCGCTGCTTTTCCTGCTGTCACTTTTCTTGTCGATGCCCACCCTTTCCCCCCTCGCACCCCACCCATCATGGATTTGATGGATGTAGACGGGGGCCGTAGCTGTGGAGAAAAAAACTGCGGCCTTACGTCCGGCTTCCCGGAGGACTGCTCCAACCAAGAGTGCCACTGGGAGGAACCTATGTTTGGACTGATTGAATTAGGTGGGTAAACACAGTTGTAAAAGTAGTCTTAGAAATAAAATAATAAAAATAAAAACCTGCAGCTACAGCGCATCTTTCTCTTTAGAAAGAAAAAGAACAAATTGTTGATTGAAGGAAATTGTGGTATCTGAATATTTCAAAGTCATATTTTCTCTTACGTTCCATTGGTGTTAAAGTAGTTTGGGTGTATAATGCTGTTTTCTGGGTGATGCTGAGTACTGCTTGATTCACTCCAGGAACCTGATTTGCTCTGTACATGTGGTTTTAGGCTAAATAAAAGGATTGGTTTCATGGGTTGTGCAACTCACATCTAAGCAACTCATCAGCAGTGGATTGTGTTGTGAGATGTTCGTGCAAGCTTGCATGGTTACATGTCCCTGTTAGTTAAATTTGTCAATATCAGTAGTAAACTTTATCTGATGTAAACATGGCACAAGGCACTGAAATCTAATGCCAGAGGCTCGTTTGCTTATCTTAACATATAGCAGGGGTGTCAAACTCAAATACACAGTGGGCCAAAGTTCAAAACTGGAACAAAGTCGCGGGCTAACGTTAATATTTATTGAAATATATTTATTCCTCCAGATTTAAGAATGAATCTTTTCTTATGGACTCAAACACGTTTTGCTGAAAAACTGAATATGCAACAAGCAAAGCTTAATACTAAACAATATATATATTAGCTGTGTAATACCAGTAGGCCAGCTCTAATAGTAATTTGGTATGGCTTCATGGGCCAAATGTAATTAGGCTGCAGGCCAAATTTGGCCCGCGGGCCAGAGTTTGACACCTATGACATATAGGGTTTCCTTTTCTTTCTTCTTTTTTGTTTATTAGCTAGCACTCTCCATTTCCACTTTTTGTGTCCAAGGCGTATATAAAAGTGTATATAACAAGAAACACCACACATGGTTATTGAAGTTGTGTTTTGAAAGCTCAAGCTGATGTTTTAAATCCAGACTTTACAAGCAGGGGGCCTGACCTGAATGTCAGTCTGAGGGACACTGCAACCTTAGCCAGTGTTGCCAACTCCTCATTAAGGAAAATCGCTATTGGCTTAAAGCTAAACGATGTCATCGCCTAATTTGCACAATTGGTCATGCTAACGTCATTGTAACCTATGTTGTAGGAGAGAAAAATAACATCGTGGAAGAGACATAAAGTGAGTAAAAAATGCAGTTAGAGTTTATTTAGAACTACAAATTAAATTTCTTTTAGCAATTATTGTTTTTAATGTCACAATTCCAACCCTGCTCCTTTACCCGGGCTTGGACCGGCTGTGATCCGAAATAGGCGCTCTGGTGGAGGTACTCTGTGTGTGTTTGTGTGTTTATTAGTAGTTTTAAACCTTGTGATCCACAAAACAGCATAAGAGTAAAAGAAGAACTGACTGCGTTACAGACAGTGCGGGAGCAGCGACTTCGCTCATGTGCGATTCATTTGCAGTTTCGACGCATTGGGGTGAAAATCACCTGCTGGGGGAGGACTATCCTCCGCCCGTGAGCACTTTGGCACGGGCGAGGTGCCCACGGCAGCACCGCTGCTTGTTGTGAAAAGTCGCTAAGTTGGCAACACTGGCCTTATCATTGACTGGTTTTATTTTCTCCTTGTATGCAGTCAGTGATAAGGAAAGGGGGGCAACTCTTCTAAGAAATAAAAGGTCTGACTCTAATGACGTCCTTATTAGAGTCAGAAGCCTTTCCAGGTATTTCACATGTTGCTAGCCTGTGAAGCCTGTGTTTCCAGGCAGATCCACCCTGCATTCTCCTTGTCGTTTTCTCATTATATCAAGCAGGCAGCGGTGGTAATATGAGGACATGATTCTAGCTACACTCTTTGTCTAGTATCTGGAAATGTTGATCCTTTTTATTATCTGTGCTGAAAAGGCATGTCCACCTTTATGTACAGTCTATGGTTGGTGCTAAGCTAAGCTAACCAGCTGCTGGCTATAGTTTCATTGAATTATTTGTAAAGAAATCTATACAATATGTAAAAAAAATACACACACACACACACACACACACACGCATATATATACATATATACAGGGCTGCACATAAGTGGTCCGCAGGTGCGCATGCGCTGTCAAAATAAAAGACGCGCACCACATAAGAAATTGCGACGCGCGTTTGCGTACATAAGATTTTCTGGAGGAGGACAGAGTTTGTTTAGAACTCTTAAAGATGTCGAAGAAGCTCCTTTAAGCAATTACTTTGGTTTTCCTCCACCTCCAAACAAATGTCAGGAGTCTGAACCACAAAAGAAGCGCGTATTCTCGGAAAAGTGGTTGCAGGAGGTGAGCTGGCTTCAAACAAATGATGAACGCACAGAGAGGTGGTGCCATGAAAATCCCACTCTAGCGGACAACTTCTTATCTGGTGCGCGTTTTTTATTTTGACAGCGCATGCACACCTGCGGACCACGTATGTGCAGCCCTGTATATATGTACATATATGTGTGTGTGTGTGTGTTATGTATATGAGGAAGATAGATGGAAACAGATCAAATTGAGATCTGATAAAAACAGATAATTATTTCTTCTTGCAGTGTGCGTGACTGTGATTTACATCCCCCTGATGTTATTTGGCCTCCTGGGAAATATACTAACAATTCTGGTGGTTTGGCTGCGTCCACACATGAGAACCTCCACCTACCTCTACCTGAGCAGCATGGCTGTTAGTGATCTGCTGATACTCCTGCTGCTGCCTCTGGATTTATATAAGGTATCTACTGACACAGTGCATATTTTGTAATGCATGCTTGCTTTACTTTGGCCTGAACACCAGACCTACAGCCACGTTGTGGCACTAAGCAATCAGATCATGATGTTAGTTAGGTTTAGTCGAGTCACAGAAAATCACTCCATTGGGTGAACAAAGCAGGCACAATAGATTCGCTTCCTGTTTGTGTTTTCTAGTAATTGTTTAAAGATGTTATTGTTGCCTTCCCCTCAGGGGGACCCCTGCCTCTAAATTAAATCTTGTTACATTGAAAGCTTGTGTCACACTTAGAGAAATCTTAAATCACTCTTCTATCGCAGGCTTGGCACAATCACTTTAAGTATGTGGATAAATAACAAGTCATATTTTGTTAGTTGCATGGGTTTTTATCATATTCCTTGTGCAGCGTAACTTAATTAACACAAGCAAAGACAGATCTGGCCTTTGATTCTGTAAGACGCCAAGAGCTTGAAGAACAAACGTTACAACTAACCCATATGTTGCCACAATAATAAAAAGCCCTAATAAGTTTTTAATTTTTCTTTCATATATATTGTCAGAATGGCAGACGCTCAGTAAAACATGGTTTACATAACGAGGTCTGTGTACGTACAAACTCAAAGACAGGCTTCAGACTGAGCTGAGCACTGAATTTCCAACAGTTTCTTTGTACTTATATAGCCCCAAATCACAGCAACAGGTGCCTCAAGGTGCTTTATATTGTAATGTAAAGATCCTACAGTGGAGAAAATGGAGACAACCCTAAAAATCAGACAACCCTCTATGAGCACACAATTTTGGTGCTAGTAGGAAGGAAAAACTCCCTTATAACAGGAAAGAAACCTCCTGCAGGAGCTGGCTCAGGGAGGAGAGGCCATCTACTGTGACTGGTTGGGGTGAGGGGAGGAAGGCAGCACTCTGTATAATTTCATAAAGAGAAGACATCTTTAAAATAGTCATCTGAAGCATACAGTCAATCAACAGATGGGCCGACAGGATGTGGCATTAAAGGAGCTAAAAGCTCAGTTCAGTGAGGATGATCTGGTCACAGTGGGGCAGTTGTGTGTGGAGTTTGCATGCTCTCGTGTGCCTGTGGGGGTTCGCTCTGGTTAGGTGGGCACTGACTAAAAAACGATACCTTTTGTCTTGATAAGTAGAAAATTATGATTTTCTTATAATAAAGTAGTTTTCAGAATGTTCATTTAAACTAAGCAGCTGAGTTAATATTAAATACTTGTTCTTATCTGAGTCTGTTGACATGCTATGCACTGCTCACATATTCTTTACAGGTTAAAAAAGGTATAAAATGCAATCAGAGGAAAATAATTGTTCTGTCTCTCCAAGCTCTGGAGGCCCCGGCCCTGGCCCCTGGGAGACCTTGCCTGTAAGCTGACTATGTTCCTCTCAGAGTGCTGCACCTTCTGCACCATCCTCCACATCACCTTCCTCTCCCTGGAGAGATACCTGGCAGTCTGCTGGCCGATCACAGCCAAGACAGTAGTGACACGGCGCAGAACCCGGGCCATCATAGGCTGCCTCTGGCTGAGTGCGGCTGTGAGTGCCGCACCAGTGCTGGTCATGGTTGGAGTGGAGGACGTTGGACGAGAAGACCTCGGGCTCATCCAATGGAAAGAAGACGGGGGGTGGACAGGCAGGGAAGGAGATCAGGGAGGGTTTACGATGGGTGGAGGAGAAAAAGAAAGCAGACACATGGATGGAGGCCCAGAGGAAATAAAGTGGGGTGAAAAAGAGACAAAGAGTTGGGAGGAACGAGCTGGTGAACTGAAATGGATCGGAGAAAAAGTAGAGACAGAAACAGCAGAAGTAGATAACAGGCCACCGGAAGACAAAGGTGAAATGAAACTTGAAAAACATACAGTTGAACATGGAAGGGAGGGAGACGGAAAGATGGGATTAGAGGGAGAGCAGCAAAACAAAAAGGAAGACGAGGGAGGAGGACTGGACGGAAGCTCCAATGAAGGCCGTGGGGGAGAGACTGACAAGAGAGAGTGCCGCTGTACACATTTTGCCATCTCCTCTGGCCTGTTGTCAGCCATGATGATTCTCTCCAATTTGTATTTCTTGGTACCTCTCTGCATTCTGGGAGTGGTATATAGTCTGATTGGGCGCACACTGTGGCTCCGCCCAAAAAGCAGCCGTAGAGACCAGAGTCACAGGAACACTGTCAAAATGCTGGGTGAGGAAGCACACACACACACTATGCCTAAACCTAACCATAACCTAATAGTAACCCTGACACTAAAACCATATTTTGAGCCTCAAAAATACCTTCAAACTTGTGGGGACGTGGATTTTATCCCCATAAAGGCTGTTGGTTCCCACAAGCATAGTAAACTTCCAATTTTTGGTCCCCACAAAGATATGTAAGCACACACACACACACACACAATTTCAAATTCTTTTAAATTCTCACCAGTATGGCGGCCAGGTGAAAGACATGTTTTTTGTTTTGGGGGGGATATTCAAGCAGTTTTGTTTTTTGTTTTATTTACGTTGGTAGAGTTGTTGATGGGTTAGTTCGTTCTTGGAAGCCTGTCCGTCATGGAGCCGTATAGAAACAGCTTGATACAGAATGGAACCAAAGGGTCACAAACATCCAAAGATGAGCTTTCAAAAAGCCTGGAGAACTACTCCTGAAGACTGCTTCAAGAAATTAGACGAAAGCTGCCTGAGAGAGTTCATAAAGGCAGTCATACCTAATACTGACTCAGACGCTCATTCGACCTGTATTTCCATGTATGTTTGTACATGGTTACATTAATGGCTGTGCCTATTTTCCATTTTTTAAAACAACATATAAAAAAACTGAGGGGTGGGCAAAGACGTTTGCATACTGTAGTCCATGTAGTACGTGCCGTGATTGGTCAGGACTCGATCTGGAACGTTGGCGGTTCTGACTTAATGTTCTCATCTTTTTTTCTTCAGGAGTGATCGTCTTGGCGTTCGTCTTGTGTTGGCTGCCGTTCCATGTTGGTCGAACCATATTTTCTCTTTCTCTGGGCACTGGGACTGAGAGACAGGAAACTTACCTGGACACTAACTCCCAGTCAGACACTATCACGCATGTCAGCATGGACAGAAAAGATGTCACCATACCCACTGTTACTAACCCACCTAGCCACTTAGACCTGGACATAAACACTGAAACACTGTCCTTGCACTCTCATATCATGTCACACACAAAAGGGCGACATGAAAAGACCGACATACATAATGGACACACTCAAAATAAAAATGTTTCGGCTCATGTTATTAATACACAACCAGACAACAGAAACACACATAACCAACTGCAAAGAAGCACAAACACAATCACACACAGCCTGCAAAGTAAGCTATCAATTACCGTAAAGTCCCAACATGACAAACCTGAAACAGCGCCTCCCATCCCCACAACTGCCTATTCTGCAGCATCTACAGAGCTGCACTATGACCACACCTACAATGACACAGTCTTCAGCGACACATACGCACCCCCTGATACACACTTGTACTTTTTATATTATCTGTCTCAGTATTTTAATCTTGTGTCCTCCGTGCTCTTCTACCTCAGTGCCGCCGTCAATCCTTTATTGTACAACCTGATGTCTGCCAGATACAGACACGCTGTACGCAGCCTCATACGCACACAGTCTCACGCACAAGCTCGTCGCATGCACACGCTCACCGTGCACCACTCCACAACCACTTTGTGATGGCAAAAAACAAATGGATGCACCCACTGCAAGCAAAAAAGAGGAAACAATCAAACAAACCTCAATTTCTTTTCATTACAATGTGGTACTGTACCACAAATTGAGAATGTTGACATTTATTAATAAAAAATATTTTAGGCATAAATTAAAAAAGGCATATTAATGCTTATGCTTAGACCAATTCTAGCACAAGTAGTTTTAATTCTTTATGTAATTTATGTATAAGAAAACCTCCACATGAACTTCATATACTGGGCAAAAATATTGTGAATGGCATTTCATCAGTACATGGAATAGTTCATGCAATAATGCACAGGCTAAAACACATAGTGCAGTTTTAGCCTGTGCATTATTACATAGCCGGTTTGTTTCACCCAAAAAAATCTATGCACAATGAAAATACACTAAGTCTTTTATTTTGTCTAAAAATGAGTGATGCTAATTCAGTTAGACTTTTGGGCTAGATTTTTATATCCAGAGTCCGCTCGCATAGACTTCAGCCAAAGTCCAAATAAGCTGTGTCCAAATTCAGAGGCCGCATTTGTAGACCGATGACATCACAGCCAGGCGACGAAAGCTGCCCAAATTCAAAGACTCTGACAAATGCGTCCGACAAATGCGTCCTTCATTTCCCCAGATTTGAAGGATGGGTCAGTTGTATCCTTCGATGCCCAACCTGTCCCAGAATTCATAGTGCAGCCAATTCCAGTTTCCATCAACGGAGGCAGCTACTTAGTTTTAATATTCCTCTTTCTGGGTCACAAAATAAACTTTTAATATATTTTCAGGGAGAATGTAGCTGTGTAAACCTCAAATATCTGCTCGATTTATCAAGACATTGCATATTTGCAAAAGCGCTCCGACGTTTTCGGAGACGTCTGTTACCCACCAGCTCGATAGCTAGCCGGGGTTCAAGGCTCACTAGAGCAGGCGGAAACTCCCGGCACATCGTTTTCAGACCCCGTGGTTTTACACTACTCAGGTTAAACATGATACATAAGTCACTTAGACAACTTAAAAATGTTATTATTTGGCTTTTTTCAGTGTTTTATTTGTTCCTGAGTAAATCTGTTTGGCTGAGATTAAAGTTATAGTTTTTACACAGCTGAATAAATGTCAAGCAGACAGCTGATTATCAGAAGTGTGAGATGCTGGAGAATTTACTCCAGTGTCCTGTTATATTTTAGGGAGCAAGGAGCAGACGGCTGATTTTATTAAACTCCACTGAGACAGCGGTGACACAAATCTGAAGGCTAGACCGTCCCATTTCACAGCCTCGCACTTCCAGCCTTCTGGGTCTTCGAAGGACCCGGCCTATGTTGACCGTGAAGGCCGGGTCCTTCGAAGGATGCAGGTCTTGAATTTGGACACAGCAATACTTTCACTCAGGAGCCATCATGGAATACTTCCAGGAACCTTGTCAAAAATCTTTTGGATTGGTTTTCCTAAAAATTCCATTTTCCTATCTTTACAATACAGTTAGGGCTGCCACAAACGATTATTTTGATAGTCGACTAATCAGATCATCATCCATTGGACGTAAAACGTACAGCTTATTGCACCAGCAGCATCTGCTCTTATATAACTATCATTAGCTTACAGCTTTAAGTGTTTGTGCTAACTAAAAATAAAGACAAGATGAGAGTTTATTGAATTTTAATGAAGTTTGCAGATTGTTTCGGTGAAGTTTAATAAACTCCTTGCTATCTAAAATATAACAGGACACCGGAGTAAATTCTGGAGCATCTCACACTTCTGATAATCAGCTGTCTGCTTGACGTTTATTCAGCTGTGTAAAAACTATAACTTTAATCTCAGACAAACCGATTTACTCAGGAACAAATAAAACACTGAAAAAAGCCAAACAATAACATTTTTAAGTTATCTAAGTGACTTATGTATCATGTTTAACCTGAGTAGCGAAAGACGGCGGTGGGTTTGAAAACGATTTGCCGGGAGTCCGGTGTTCTCACGGCTCTAGTGAGCCTCGCCCCCGGCTCGCTATCGAGCTGGTGGGTAACAGACGTCTCCGAAAACGTCGGAGCGCTTTTGAAAATATGTGGTGTCTTGATAAACTGAGCAGATATTTGAGGTTTACACAGCTACATTCTCGCCTGAAAATATGTTAAACGTTTATTTTGTGACCCAGAAAGAATAATACGAGTAATATTAAAACTAACTAGCTGCCGCCATTGTTGGAAACTGAGCTGGGCCGCACTATGAATTCTGGGACACAGCTTCTTCTTCTTCTTCGGGGTTTAACGGCAGCTGGCATCCTTGTACATGCAGTGCTGCCATCTTCTGTTTCAGTCCGTTATTACACTCTTAAATCCTACTACTCATTCCTGCGTCCTTTGTGATCTTACAAAGCTTCAAACGATGCGTCGACTATTAAATCAGTCGTCGACGAGTTTGATAGTCGATGTAATCGTGACTAGTCGACCAATCGTGGCAGCCCTAAATACAGGGTTAGTGTTACCACCTATAATAGCTCAGACCTGAGAAGGTTAACCAGACCTGAATCCTAACTTTAGATGAGTTATTAATGACCAGCTGAATGTCAAAAAGTTAAAACATGTTTTTCCCTGAAACTTTTATTTCCACTGTACCACCATCTTTGCTGATGTGAAACAATCCCCAGTAGTTCTATTAGGGATATTTGAGTGTCATGTCTCCTCTGTCATCTCTGTTAGTCTTATTGATTTATAATTATGTTTGTTTTTTCTCCCACAGTCAACAATTATATTGACTATTTGTATGATCACAACGCGGTACATCTGTTTGGTGTACAAAGACTTATTATTATTAAATGTAAGAAACATGTTAATCTTATTTATGTTCATCCACTTGTAAATTAAATTGGTGTCACTGTGTGTCACATGATGAGCTTATTTGCTTTTTTTTGGTGAGTCTATGAACTACAAACTGTAGCTCTAGTCCATAATATCATCATATTTTCTCAGTGGCTGAATAACTCAGCAGGTTAAGAGCTGAACTAGCAGTAAGAAGTCATAATTTTGAGACTTGGGTTTCTGTTATATAACTGCATCATAGGTGCTGAACCAGCATGATTCAGCGTCATGCTCGATATAACTGGACTTTAGGCTACATCTCTATGTACCATTCAAACCAAAGGCAGGCAATTAATTTTCCCGAGGTGCTCCTGGGACTCTTGTAGAGTGCTGCACCAATAAGCTGAACTCAGTTTCGTATAATATTACTTTTATCTCCATAATACATAAATTATTATTATATAAAGCTGCCAATGGTAAGAGTGGATGCTGTAGGGAATGAAAATATGAGACAGGCATTGTAAAAATGCAAACATTTTATCACTATTTAATCAAATCCAGAAAAACAACTGTAAACAAAATGTCTTGATGCATTCTCAATAATCAAGGTAAGTAAATCTCCAAAAGTTGATTCTGTTCATCTGGACGTTTCTGCCACTGAAAACGCTACGTCCAGAGACCTGTAAACAAAATGTGCATGTTCTGGCAAAATGTTAAAGATTTGAAGTGCTGTTGCAACTTTGCATTTAGTTTTTTAGTTTATCTGGTATTTTTCAGTTATTTTTTTCTTGTTAAGTGAAGAAATACTTGCCTGTTTTAGGCTTGAATAAGTGCAACAAGAGGTCGAAATACAATGGACACTGGACAGGTGATCATCGCCAAGAGAGAGGATCTGTACCTGGACTTGTGAAATTTTATAAGTAAGAATGTTTGTTCACGTGTAAAGGTAGATCCAAAGACAGCCAACATCTTCTGAGCACGTCTCCTTATGTGTGCAAAGATCTTTTCTTTGAGAGAATCCAGCAGTTATCCTGACTTGAAAATACAGTGAAGGAACTGTTGGAAGTCCAGAAAGCACTGGACAAGGAACCGTTAGACGGGAAGAAACAGAAGTAGAAAGGTGAGACACTAAGCTGCCAACTAAGCTGCCTTTCCAGCACAACCTCACGTGTCTGAATTTACAGTTATGTTTTCATGTTGACATACTGTATTAACACAACTGATCTAAAATCAGACAAAAAACATAAAATCAGAGTAGAAAAAGTAATTTTTTTACTGTAACAACCACAAACATGTTTAATGAATCATATTTCATAACTTTAAATGTTTTAAAGTTTAAAATCATATGCACAAGTTTTGCAAACAACAAAGTTATTTGCAGCCAATTACCTTTTACCCTTTTTTTAATAACCACATCTATTTACATAACCATCAGCTGTTCTGCATTCAATAAGATGCCACACAAATATTTGTGCCACTCCAAAAACATAATTTCTGTCCACTATAAAGGAGAACATCACAGCCTGATACCTGCAGGTCTGACAGCAGCAGGTGTATCACTCCTGTTTCTACCTGGAGACAGCAGTCGCCTCATTGTTCTGACACAACACAAAACTATCCACAACTCTACACACTAACTACACAAGACAACACATTAACTACACACTCCAAACACGCTAAACGTCACAAATCTCTCACATCTCAAAACTCGCGCTCTCTCTCTCTCGCCGTCACTCCTAAATCTTCCCCCTCTTCCTAAACAGCCAAATGTCATGTCGCCATATTAATTTTTGATTGGTCGACATGGTGCATTTTCCCACACACGTTTTTTGTTTTGTTTTATTTTTTTTGCTCATAAGCAGAGAGTGCTCGCTGCTGTCCTTAGACAGTAAACGTGACGAAACTATTCAGGAAAAAACACGCGTATATATTGTTCATCATAACTCTGGTTTTACGTGGCCTATCAACACAATGTACTGTAAAAACTGGCATATATCACCTTGTTGCCCTGTCATCTTAAAGTGGTCATGTGATTGGGTTACCACGACTACTTTATTCTTCCTCAGTTAAACAGCAGCACTCATTTTGGCCCCTAGCTGCAGGTGTTGTGCCAAAAAGTGATCGTCTGTCAGACAGCGATTGCTGCCTGCGGGAGCGCACAGCTGCTTAAAGCTGCAGCTCCCAGATTACTTACAGCTACTTGCTACA